GAGGTTTTCACGGTTTTTACAAATTGAGTGATTTTTATTTGAACCCACCCCTATATATACATATACTATCTTATAAAGCATTTGACTAAAACTCTTAAAAACAACTTTTTAAACATACAGTACTACCAATTAATGCCAAATTACTTTAAAAAAAACCTCTATTGCTAATGGTACAAGTTATTAAAGCCACCCCTAAACCCGTTTAAATCAAAACTCTATCCTAACCCTAAACCACCAACTTCTTAACGATTTCATCGGGGATTACGATTGAGATGAAATCGTCGATTACGATTGAGATGAAATCGTCGATTACGATTCAGATGAAATCGTGGGGATTACGATTACGATTGAGATGAAATCATAACAGATTACGATTAAGATGAAATCACGATTTCATTGGTTTTGCTGATTACGATTGAGATGAAATCGACTCCAACCGACTCTCCCCTATCGATTTCAAGATTTTGATGAAATCGATTGTCTTCACTCTCCCCTATCGATTTCATCGGTTCTAACATATTACGATTGAGATGATATCGACTCCAACAGACTCTCCCAGATGCGTATATATTTGACATATCGTTAGGTAATCTATTTCTCTTTAGGTTGGGACGTACTTCGTTGGGCAATATTATCAGGTGCTTCAGACGCAGCCTGATTTCGTTCACCAATTTTACAGCGATAGGAGCACGTGCACGTTATTGGTAATATTCTGGTTCCCCTTTGTAGTCTGTACTTAAGCTCTCATTACTGGGTGTGGCTGCAACTCTGAACTCTCCATAGCTCCATTCCTATGTTTATGTATATCTCCTCATCAAGATGGTTTTGCTTGATTTTATAATTCATTTTGCTGTTATTTGGTTATCTGCTCTCATCCCTAATTAAGGATGCTTTGATGTGTTGGTCCCTTGATGGTCTACATGAATAGTAAAACAGTTTGTAGAAGATGGGGGGATAAATACAAACACAATATTTTCAAATTTAAAATATATATTGATAAAGAAGATCAATACAGATTTTACAAGATTGTTTGCAGAAAGATAAGGTAATAAAAATCTATCTAAACAATCTTTGGTTACACACGAGTTCTTAGCAAACAAGAAAAGAAATGCTGTAAAGAGAAGATCATTTACTTAAGCTAGAAAATGCTTGAAGTAAGAATTAGGTTTAGAGAGTGAGTTGCGCGCACTCTGCATAGAGAAAAAACACTTCTATTTATACACAATGCATTAAATG